AGTCATGAGATGAAGGAGTTAGAGCAGGGAGCACTCACTGTGTGTGCTCCAGGGTTTACCTAGCACTGACTCTCGAGTTATGTCTGTCAGCATGCGTGTGACCTGAAGTCACAAAGCTCACGTGTTACTCTGTATGCCTTCTCATGTTGTACATGATCAGACCTCTGGAACATTATCGCTGACACTGCATCTTCTGGACTTGTGTATCACATTGCAGATTTACCTAAATGGATTCTTCCCAAAACTTGATGCAGACCACATTTCCACAAGTCTTTCCAGCCCGGAGAGAAGTTTTATCTTTATTAACAGTCGACCAGTACACCAGAAAGAGATACTGAAGGTAATCACTTTTAGAAAGAAAAATATTCCTTGCATCAGGAATCTAATATCTTTTAATTAATTTTTTTCTTTTTCTAAATTTTATTTTTATGTGTATGATATCTGCCCTGCATGTGCCTGGTGCTCACAGAGGCCAGAAGAGGGCGTCAGATCCCCTGGCACTGGAATTACAGTTAGTTCTGAGCAACCACGTGGCTGCTGAGATTGAACCTGGGTCCTCTGAAAGGGCCGCCAGTGCTCTTAACCACTGAACCCTCTTTCTAGCCCCAGAAATTAAAAATCTTAACTCTGTCATTTGTCAGATTGTTAGAGACCACTTCTAAGAACCTGATTTAAATAAGGAAAAGAAAAACAAACAAAATCCCTTTCGTGGAGCTGGTATTTTACTTAGGTTTCGATTACTTTCCACAAACTAACAACAATACACTATCACCCCATTCTGAGTGAGGAGGCCAGTGTTAGGTGGTTTGAGGATATCTGTTCACACACTCCTTTGCTCGTGCACTTGAAGTAGGGATCTGGCCACTGGGCCCTGTTGGCTCTGAGCGCTGCATGGTAGATGCATCTCCACGCCTGTTAAATGACATCCTGAAGGGAAACAACCAGATAGTAGCTGGGGTGGTTTGTACTAAGGCCTTCCCATCTGCATGGCACTGGCTTGGTGAAGCCAAGAGCACAGAGCATGTACATTTCAGGACAGCCTGTGCTCCGTGCAGGGCCGGGGCCTCATGGCACGGCAGTCGCAGCTGCTTGCTTTCTCAATGCACTGGATGCCTCAGGAGCATTTAAAGTTGCTGGTTGCATTTCTTCTTTTCTCTCTTATGCATCGCATGTTTGCAGCTAATCCGACGTTATTATAATCTGAAGTGCCTGAAGGAGTCTACTCGGTCGTATCCCATTTTCTTCCTGAAAATTGATGTTCCTTCAGCTGAACTGGATGTAAATCTCACCCCAGATAAAAGTCAAGTATTATTACAGAATAAGGTAACCTTTTTCAAATAAGGTTTTGTATGTATTTAAGCCGTTTATAAACGTACACTATCGTAACTTCTCCCGTGTTAAAAAGACTGACTTTTTAATGTCTTTGCTATTATTTTGGATATTGTCCTTTTTTTACCCCAGCGTTGCCCCTAATATTTGTTCATTTGTATTTTGTAGGAAGCTGTTTTAAATGCTCTTGAAAATCTGATGGTGACCTGTTACGGACCGCTGCCCAGTACAGAGTCTTGTGAAAATAACAAAGCAGCCGTTTCCACAGCCAACATGGCTGCTCGTGAGACAGCAGAAACAGATGTGCCCGTGAATACAATGAAGTCACCTGGAAATAATTACCCAAATGCTGAAACTTTGGCTGTCCACTTCCAAAATGATGAATCTAGAGAAAACACTGCTAATTATTTAAATCAACAGAAAGATGTAAGCAACCACTGTGATGGTCATTTTAGTAGTGAACATCCTCACATTAATAAGGACACAAGAAGTCCTTTTCAAAGTGTCTCCATGGATAGTTCCCCCTCAGAGCCTGTCCAGAGTTCCGCAGGCTCTGGTGACCATATCCAAGGAGAAAATGGCAGGAATGGGACAGAAGAACGTGGTGAAGGTGGGGGAGAATCATTTCTCGAAAAATCTCTGGCAATCTGTGCCGACGACTGGAGCAAGGGAAACGTGTTGAATGCGATGGGAGAGAATATTGAACCTGTGAGAATTTTAGTTCCACAGAAAAGTCTAGCGTGTAAAGTTAGCGACAATAGTTACCCAGCCCTTGAACCGAAGAATCTCAGTGATGGTCCTTGTAGCAAAACACCCAACGTAATAGATAACAGACCCGGACAGCTTACAGCCTATGACTTAATTAGCAACCGAGCAGTCAAGAAGCCCATGGCAGCAAGGGCCTTGTTTGTTCAAGATCGTCGCACTCAGTTCCTCGCAGAAAATCCCAAGACTTCTTTGGAGGATGCAGCGGCACAAATTGAAGCACTGTGGGAGACTCTGAGTGAGGAGGAAAAACTGAAGTAAGTTTCCAGAGCGTCGTGTGTCCTGGATGCTCAACTGTTTCCATTCTAAATTTCACATCTAGGGAAAAACAATGAAAATGCTTCTAGGCTTGACTGAAGTCTCTTTCTTGGTATCATTTTTATTGTTATTTTAGAGAATAGGGTGTCTTATTTGTAATTTTTGTTTTGAACACATTTGTTGTGTCTACTGCTTCCCTGTTTACTGTATGCTACAGCTTCTTCAGTTTCTGTCGGACTATCTGCTTTCTTTATTCCTTTTTTGTTTATGTTAAAGAACTCTGGAGTGGGTTTTATTTTAGCTTTTGCATTAGAATGGTTTATAAATATCTTGTCTGTTCCCTCCTTTTATATTGGTCTCTGAAATGAGACACAGTACAGAGGGCTGTGCCGTTGGTGTAGAACCAGGTTAGTGCATTACTGCCTATATTCAGTGTAACTTGTGGCATCTAAATCTTATCTGTTGGCAATCCATAAATTGTAGTGGGTGTTTGGGGGGTGTAAATAAGTAATTTGATCTGCTTAAAGTATTATTTGCACCCTCAGATGTAGGTATATGTCCCAAAACAATCTAATGGCTCACACTTGCGGGAACTTTTTCCCTTTGGGAGACGCAAACATGTGTCCCCTTTCTTATAAGGCGCCAAAGACAAACCCAAGTCCAGCTTGGGGAACCGGTACGTTTGTTAGACTTAATTACAGAGCATGGATGAGGGCTTACTCAGAGGAGGCTCAGTGACCCCAATTAGCTGCACCACCAAGCCGTCTTAGGCCAGCGTAGCTGTGTGGATGGAATGCCCCCTCAGTTAACCTTCCACCCTCGGAATTCTTTAGCACCTCCTGAAACAGTGACGCCCTGTGCAGCTCAGTCGGAATTGCCCACAGCTGCTGGAGAGGTGAAGGAAGGCGATCGATCTGGAACCTCGGGAGGGTCTGCTGACGCCCCCCCCCAACTCCTTCCTCCCAGAAGGGAATCTTGCCAGTCAGCAGGTTCAGTCCTTAGGCTCCCGTCCAAGCAGCCCCAGCTGCTCTGGTAAAGATGACAGGCTGTCACCCTGGATGGGTAACCCTCTACACACAATTGTATGGCAATACAAAATGTTGCATTTTGAATTATCTGGCCCAGAAAATGAAGGATAAAATTAAACTTCTAATCACTTATTACTATCTGATTTTTTTCAAAACGCTGTCAAATATCTAGGAAAATATTTAAATATAATTCATCATCTCTGGTTTAAAATTCATTCTAAATGTAGATTGTTAACATTTTCATGTCTTCATTAGTGAATTCAGTCTCAGGAATAAACTCAGTTACAGCTCATAGTGATGACAATTAGGACATAAAATACTGAGCTGTATGAGAAAACTGTTACTAAAACCAGCTCTGTTAAATAGCACACACAAGACAGCTTGTTTGTGGGGTGGGTGTTGTGCTTTGTTCTTTTCCAAATATTTATCAGCGTGAGATGCAGTGAGCCTGTTACCCCGTTTCATACAATTATGTAGTTTAAAGATGAGCAAAGCTTTTAAAATTTCACATGGTTCCCTATAAATGTGTAACAAGGAGGGGGTCTCCGCTTGTTTGTCCTGGCCACCTGGCTAGCTTAGCCCCAAAATAACCACACAGAAATTGTATTAAATCACTGCTTGGCCCATTATTTCTAGCCTCTTATTGGCTAACTCACATCTTGATTTAACCCATTTCTATTAATCTGTATATTGCCATATGGCGGTGGCTTATCAGGAAAGATTCTAACCAGGGTCCGTCTCAGGCAGAGCATCCGTGGCATCTCTCTGACTCCACCCTTCCTCCCAGTATTCAGTCCACCCCGCCTACCTAAATTCTGCCCTATCAAAAGGCCAAGGCAGTTTCTTTATTCATTAACCAATGAAAGCCGCACATAAACAGAAATAAATCCTACACCATAAGTGTGTGTAGTTCTCATGTGTCAAGTTGTCTGAGAAAGAAAACGTACTTCTAGTTTCTGTAAGTGTGCGGCAGTGTGAACTCAGGAGGGAGGCATTTTCTTTAGTCTTGCAGCAACTTCCCTTTCGTTGCCTTGTGGAGAGGGGTAGTTAGCATTATCTACCTAGGGAGTTCCAAACTGTCAGAATATTAGTGTTCCGGTTGGTACGCTTCATCTAAGGTTTTGTTAGTAATACAATATATTCTGGTGACGGTTTCCCCTCAGCGCCCCATACATGATCTCCAGCCCACACACACCCGTCCAGCCTCATGCCCCCCTTTCTCTATCTCCCTCTCTCTTTAAAGTACAAAGAATCAAGAAACACACATCACAGAAACACAAAACCGAAGCTAAAATATACACACAAAAGACTAATAAGGCCCAAAACGCCCAAACAGTGGACAAAAATCACATTGAGTCTGTCTTGTGTTGGCCTCTCCTGCCGGCGTGGGACCTGCCCTGAAGTGTGGTTAATATACCCAGTGAGATTCCAATGGGAAAAAAAAAAAACCTGATTTTTCCTGTACAAGTGGATATCAGTTCATGTCCACACCGCCCTCTTGGTGTCGGGACCCCGTCTGTCCTACAGGCCCCGTGCATGTCACCAGTCTGAATTCACGTATCCATCAGTCCTGTTATATCTGGAGGAGTCCCCATCCCTCTGCCTCTGACAATCTTTGGAGCTCCTTGTCTGTTTGGAGGACTAAGGCCTCCAAAGTCTCGCTCTGAACGTCGTCCAGTGTAGGTCTCCATCTGGTGCCATGTGCAGTCTTCTTCATAGGCGCAATGAGTTTTAAGAGAAGGGAAGTATGGGAAGTTATGGAGACTCAGCAGCCGTCTCGTAGATGGTACAGAAATGGTTCCCTGTATAACACTAACCAGAAAGCTTTTGGGGAGTTAGCCCATGAGAAGGAACGCGGTGCGAGGAAGTGAGAAGACTCTGTGATACAGGGACAGAAAGTGAGAGTGTGCTGGAGAAAGTTGCTTCTGTAGGTCCCAGGACCAGCCGGAGGTCCTGCAGGGTCCCGGGGCCAGCCGGAGGTCCTGCA